ATACGTGTACCTTTTTGTCTGCAAAAGGCAAGGATATTGCAAAAACTAAAAATCGTTCAAACTATTTTGACTGCTTTGAAATTTGATATGGGACTTTTCATTGGAAAATAGCATGTTCAGTAAGACTGGGTTCATACATTGAACTAATCCATAATGTGACTTGTGTGGTTTTCTTTACTTAGAGTAAACCCAGTAATAACTGATTAAACCATGGCTTAGCATGATCCAGAATACAATATACTTTCATTAGCATCGCAACAGATTATCTACCAACATTTAATATTTAATCAAATCTTAAATAATACTACTGTAGTATTTAAGTTTGTGCCAAAAGCTAACGCTGAAGCCAAATTCCATAGCTTTAGTAGGCTGGCTAAATCAAAATGTCACAAAATAAGGGATTCTTGGTGCTTTCTGAGCTTGGTTGTTTTCTTGCGGACGTTTCATTATCAAATCAGGCAACATCATCAGTACTTAGTAGGGAATGCCCTGCTGCTGCTGCTGCTGTGTGTGTATGTGTGTGTGATGCATGCATGCATCACATATTAAAAAGGTATAGGGTTCTAAGTGCCTGGTGATCCCCTTGTGATGTTGTTGATGGCTCTTATAGCTACTCCTGTGAGGAACGCATCATTTTCCAAACTGTTTTGTGACCCCGATAGAGGAGAATATTGTAGCTCAGGCTTGAACTGCGGGTCTTTGGTGCTCTTCAAACTTGCTTGTTTTCTTGCAGATGTTTTGTTACTCAAACTAGATAACATTATCAATGGTAGTAGGGAATGGGGTTTGCTCTCATAATAATAAACAGCCCAATCCCAAAAAAACCCAAGACCACTCCTACGAACATTGACAATGAAAGAAACCCCCATTTAGTCACATCCTCTATTTCAGTGTTGTTGACAGTTCTTGTGAACACACAGATCTTTTAGCATTATCATTTTTTTGATAGTAAGTACTAGTAAGATTGTTATTCTCTTTACTGAAAATGGAGAGGAGTACTCTCTTTTTTTAACAGCACATTCATTACTTTCTGATATTACAAATAAAAGAACAATGCAAATCTGCATAGTTGTGTAGAAATCTAGTTTTGAAAATGAACTTTTAGTTTTGCTATGTGATTCTGCTACTCTTTTGGACAGGAACTTTTCACAGAAATATGTGTATGAAATGTTACCATGTTGGGGAAATATTTTCTTGGTTTTAACTTCATTTTCTTGTCTTTCAGGCTATTTCAAATGATGGAAATTGATGAATAATTTTGGAATGAAGAGGATGATTATCTTTAGCCAGAATCAAAAGCTAAAGAAATGAAGATGTGCCATGCATGTTCAAGTTACTTTGATTGTTGATAGATGAGACACCAGAAATCAGCTCAGATTAGCTGGAAAACTGTTTTTGTTCGCTAACACTATTTTCATGGATGTTATCTTTTAATTTTCAAAAGCACTGAACATTTAAAGAAGGACATTAAAATTTCACAGTGTTTTTTTTTTTTAGTTAGCACCATTATCACTAAAACTGTTCCAAGTGGAAAGCAGTGGAATGTAAGCAATTGTTTGCTGTCCTTGTCCAAGGAGCAAAGTATATGGTAGAAACATGTGATTTCTCCATGCCCTGAAATTCTTAACACTTTATCGTGTTAGCATGGATAAGATGCTGCCTGAGAGTCTCTTGGGTACTGATTATCGTGACATGGATGGAAAATGGAGTTTAAAAGGCAAGGTTCAATGAAAAAGAAGATACTAGGTGCAAATAACGGGTCTGTACTTTGAGGCATCTACAGTACCCTATCACATTTGTGGACAAATTACTGGTCTTCTGGGCTTATTAGTTTGTCTGAAAAACAGATATTTGCAAATGGCTGCCTTTAGCCGTAACAGACATTTTGTATCCTTCAGTTTCCACAAAAATACAGTACTGTTGGAGGTCAGTTCTTGGAACCATTGTTTGATAATCTCCCTTGTTTGCGACATTCAAATTTGCAAAAAAAATATATGCTTGCCCAGAGGAGATTGGGAAGAAATAATTTTAGGCCAGAGTGACATGAGATTGTCTGCTCTTCCTATCTGCAGTGTGTTAAGCATGAACTCTATGGTTATATATATAGAAGTTGGAAATACAATATTCCTACCAACTTTGAGGTTTTTATAGATAAAAGTTAGTATTTCAACTTCCATTACAAACTGGAAGCCAATGAATTTTTTTTTTAATGCAAGCCCAAATGCCAAGAACCCTTCTACTGGCCACTTAGAGTACAGAGAAGGAAGAGAACAGTATGTCTTTCTGCACTCTTAGAAGCTTCCCACTGTAATACCTTCCAGACTGAATTATAATTCACAGAATTTCTAGCAAAAGTCTGTCAGATTGGGAAAAGGTGACTTGGGTAATAATGGAGAACAAGAACCAAGAGGGGATGGTTTCCCCACAATACATAATTTACCACCTTAGAGAAATCTGATATTTCCACATTAAGAGTTGAGGTGAAAGAGTGCTTTTCATTTGGTTTTTTTTTTCAGTTCCTGAAAAGGCTACATTTTCATAAAATCCAATTCTTACAAAATAAATATACCCCAAATTGTTTATAATCATTTGTGTGTTTAATATGCAAAAATTAATGAAAAGTTCATAGCCTGCAGATTTTTCCCCCCCTACACATAATCTAATGTTGAAATCTCCATCCTGGAAATTCTTAAACCCATATTTTTAGAAAATGAGGTTGCTGTTACCTCATTTGGTCTAAATTCTTAAAACAGCGAGGAACCGAAGTGTAATTAGCCCCGAATTACTTGAAATTGCTTGATGCAGTTGCATCCATTCTTACTCCTACACCTGGTGGGGGAAAAAAGATGCTTTTCAGTAATTGAGTCCAATACTGTACTTTGTATATTGAAAGTTTGCTCTTCACCAACTTCTTGTAATGCTACCAGAAAGATCAATTTAGCCAGTTGCTCAGAGAGGCTAGTTAGTCACTGTAAGGTTTTTCAGATTGAATTTCTGCTCCAACTTCTTTCATGCTGTAGAGCGGTTCCACAAGTTTGTTGTGAACAAGCATCAACCCTGGTTAAATGAAACAAAAATAGTTCAGTGCTTATATAAATGTCATGTTTTGTCAAGTAATAACTTACCCTTGTACCGAGTATATTTGAATCTGGGGGATAGTGGGCTGGATACTTCCAACTTTCCTCCCCCAACCCTGCCTATTGTACTTTGGTATCAGTAGCAACTTGATAGTTCCTACTCCATCACCCATATTCCAAGAAGATGTCTAACCTGGTATCCTATCCTTAACTTTGTATGTGCAAGTGTGTGCACTGGGAGGAGGAACTCCCACAGGTGGCTATATTTCTGGCATATAAAAATGAAATTATGAAATTATGGCTACAGTACCACTTCACAGAAAATAGAGACATACGATTAGGGATACCAAGACATAGGACAATCTATTGAGATACAGAAAAAGAAAACTTTGTTAAACAAAACCCCCAATATAAAATCACTTTAAAGGTTAAAATATTAACCTTATAAAACCAATTCAGAAGACCACAAAGCAGCACTTTATCTATTATAGAGTCCACAGGCTTCAAGATTTACCGAGCATCAAAAATTCCTCATGAAAAAAGGTCAAGAGTTTAGAAAAAATATATTTGTTGATATATGCATACAAAATGAAGTACATACAGTCACGGAGCTTGTACAAAAATACAAGAAACACTGGACTGAAGCACAGCAAAAAAAAAAAAAAATTAACTTGCTTGTATCTATTTTTTAGATATAGCCTGAATTTCAGAGGATATGGGTATGTATGTATAAATATGCATTCTTTTTTTTTTACTTCCTTTATTGCTTAGTTTCACCCTCTTTCATTTTTTGCAATAGATCAGTAAAAGCAGAACGTGATTTCTTAAAATGTGGCACCCTGGGGAGATAATGCAGCCAAGTCAGGCACATCAATTTCTCCATTTCCCCAGTGTTCTGACTTTTTTTTTAAAATAGCTTTTCTTCATTCTGGAAAGGGAGAAATAGCTTTTTAAATAGCTTTTCTTCATTCTGGAAAGGTATCTGCCTTTGCTTTATGTGCCTTCCCCAACGCTGATGACTGTTTCTTTCTGATGCAGACTAGCATCACTACAACATTCTCTGTTTTTAATTCTTTTCCTTTTAATGTTTTTGGATGTTGTGTCTAGAAAAGGAAAATACAATCTTTATATTCTGAGATAAAGCACCAATGTGAAGGAATGGATTAGACATGCAGCTAGGACTGGATAGGCTTAGCCTCAACAACTCCCTCAGTCATGGAACACTCTGGATTACTTTAGGTCTCCTGGTATCTCCTAGCCCAGACTACCTCATAAGGGTTACTATTTGAGGAATAACCAAGGAAACCATTGTGACAGCTACTTTGAACTCTTGTTGCAGGGGAAAAAAGGCAAGATACAAATCTAACATAATCAAAATGTTGAGGATCATTTAGCTAGGAGAATCTCTATGTCATGCCCCATACCATTGTCTAGCACTCCAAAGTGTACAATAATATGAATAGATATCTATATTTCCCATTGCTAATAGAATGAAGTGGAACCAGAAGACCCAGTATTTTGAACTTCAATTCCAAGACTGACAACGATTGAGGAGACTATTTTATAAACAACCACCTGCAAGCTCCTTCATTAACAGTAAAGATGACTGTTAATGTGCTGGCTAAGAAAAGCAGCACCTGAGCATAATATGAGAAGCCAGCAATAGTTTCAGAAATCTGGTAACATCATACCTGTTTACATCTTCCTGCAGATATTTAGTTGTTCATTGTTGGATACAAGAAAATGATTGTGGTGGCTCAGTGGAACTTTTACCCACATCTATACTGGAGTTATACACAATACTAGAGAGGTGGCACAAATAGCCCCTTGTTCCTTTTTTATGCATTTAATGACTTAGGTCAGGGATAGGCAACTTTGGCTCTTTTATGACTCGTGGTCTTCAACTGCCAGAATTCCTGAGCCAGGTCCTTGCTGTTTTTCCTTATCTTTTCATCTATTTAAAGTTTCCCTTCAACCGAATTCTAGCTCAAGAATATTTAAAGAGAAGATATGCTTGGTGGGTGTGGGTGGATAAAAGATACAAACATTTCACTTAAAATGGCAAAAATAAGCAAGTTGAGAAAATAAAGCATCTGATTTCCAAAAAGGGTAAGATGGAAGGGCAATACTGAAAATGTTAATCTAAATAAGCCAAAAGCAACTACAGACTTACGAGGAACTATTCAATAAGGAAATGACCTCTGATGCCAAGAAATAAGGGAGAAACCAATAAGACAAGTTTGCTTTACAAGTTAAAATTTTCCAAGGTACTCCTGGCAGTTAAAGCATGACAGTCCCAACTCGTATTTGCACTCCTAATACAACACTTTAACCACGGCCAAAAGAGGTACCAGGTTCATGGAGGATTTTTGCAACATGATTTGTAGATGTGAATTACCAAACATTACTGCTGCGTTAATGCCTTTTTATATTCTAAACATTTATAGACTATTTCTTAGATTCGTACAACACTCTACCTTGAAAATACTTCACAGTTTTTACTTTAAGCTCCAGAGTAGCATCATCATCGCATATAAATATGGTTCGTGGATGTTGCTGAAATGCAGAAACAGTCCACATGTGGTTCACCCCTTCTTCAATTGCTTTGTATAATGCAAATGCTTTATGGGCTCCTGTGATCAGAATCATAACCTGAATGACACGACATACAGGAAACACAATTAGGCTTTTGATGGCAAGCATCATAAATACTAAATGATCCTTGGTATTCTCAACTATTTCAGGTTGGGAAAAAAAAGAACTAGATGGTCTGGACACTAATATTTACAAGAAGAAATAATATAACATCCAATGATATTTTATCAACATCAGGACTTTTTCAAGCGAATTCAAAGATATTGTAACCATTAGAGCTATGTAGAATTCTACTTTACAGAAAATCTGGGAAAAAAATAATATGAAGATCAAAAGCGAAAGGAGCGCTCCATGATTTATAACATGCTTGTAAAAGGCAGCTTGCTTTTAGTTATTTCAATTTATAATCTGTAGTTCTACTAGGAGCTAATTTATGAATTGTACAGAGTCTGTGTGCTTTAAGTAGAAGATATTTCTCCAAGAGTCTTGTGTTACTATGCAAGAACATTTGGACTAATAAACATTGGTGAATTAGAAGCTGGTGAATGTATTTGCCTAACAGACTTACCAAACTAGTTATAGCTAATCAGTTCAGTAAAAATGGAAATCAGAAAAAAAAATCAGGATGAGTATCAATTCTCTTGTCCTTATCTACCAACAACGACAATACACTGAGCTATAAATAATCATTTCAGAAGCCTTTAAGAGGTCTGCAAAATCCATGCTTTATTTCCAAGGTCCTAAAAATGGTGTCAGTGTATTAACTGATTACATACAATATCTTCATAATACTATAATGAATCTAATATTTTATATACTTAACTTTTTATCTGGAATTTTGTAAAACAGCAAAATTCCATTCAGAGGCTTTGTATTCTAACCAAGTACTATATGATTGGTAAGTTTGTTATCTTCCATAGATTTAACTTCTTTATTATACAACAGAAAATAAAACTTGCAATTAAACAAACAAGAAATAAGTTTGGGAATATCAGAAAAGGAGTTCATTTATAGTCATCGCTAGGCATAGAGCCAGTTTATATCCTATACTACAAATATCAGAGAAAGGGGCCAAAGGAATTATGGATCATGTTCAATGTTAACATGCATTGTTAACATGCACCAGTTAGAACCTTAACACACTACAAAACCTATACCTAAATGGGAAAGGATTTGTTTTGAAATAAATATACCCCCATATTAAGTACCAACACACATTCCAACAAACTGCAACAGATTTAAAGAGCAGTGAGGATTACAGATTAGAAAGTTCTATGTACAAAATTAAAAAGAAATGGAAATGCAGACCTTGAAAAGATGGCCAGTGCATTCTTCAAATACTTGAAAGGATATAACACAGAAGATAAAGATTCTCTATTTTCCAGGAATGCAAAAAGAGAAGAATTTAGGATTCCGGTTTTAGGAAGGTAGGTTGTGGTTGAAAATGTAAGAAAAACTTCCCAATAGTAGGAACATTTTGATATTGCAGATGATTATTGAAATGAGCTCCACTTTGCTGGATCTACTCAAGTGGGGCTGCACAATAAATTATAGGGGACACTTTATTTTAGATTCCTGTTCTGAGAAGGCATTGGACTTGGTGACCAACAGGGTCTTTTCCAAGTCCAGAATAAGCTAGAATTCCTCTTTTCAGACAAACTGCTTGTTCCCTATCCCTCTTCTGCCTCTTTTCTATAAGTAATTATTAGGCTTCTAACCTCTTTGGCATCCATGACTGTACCCACTCCAACTGTGAGAGCCATTGTGGGCACTTTGGAAAGATCACCTTCAAAGAATCTAGCATTAGCCAATATTGTGTCCATCGCTAATGTCTTCACTCTAGTTCTGGATACCAGGCTTGACCCCGGTTCATTAAAGGCAATATGACCATCTGGACCAATACCTGTAGGGAAAATCATTGAAATTATTATAATTGATTGATCAGTGGTAAACAGTAAATATGATTTAGGATTAAGTACTTCAGAATAGTAAGTGCATTGTTTAAACAGATGGCTGTGAATGTTTCTTTAGGCCATAACACAGACAGTAATCGTCAAAAAGTTTACATACTGCCAAACATCTAGCATGAGAACATTCTCTTACAGGAATTAGCAAAATTTCTGGAAAGAGGACTAGAACTACTAATAGAAATAAAGATGCAGAT